TGTGCACAATTGGCTGCTGCGTTTCGACCACAAAATATACAGTGAATTCACATTACAGTATATTCTGCAAAGCGCTTTGAGATGTCTCAAAGACGTGATAAGGCGCTACATCAAACGCAAGGATTATTATTACATATGCAAGTTGTACTGTAAGCTGCGGTCTTGTATCTCAGAGCACTGTACACTCATACTTCACAGAAAACTTTGAGAAGCACTTTGATGCTCGTTTTGACCCTGAATCAATGAGAAGGATTATTTTACCATTAAAAGTCGGCACCTTCAGGAACAGGGTGGAGCGGGAGGGAGGAGGAAGTTCAAGAAAGAAAAGATTAATTTCAAAGTAAAAGAAAATTAAAGCATTGCTCAAATGAAATAAATGCTCTATTAATAATAATAATTCTCATGTTTGATATTACATCCACCATGTCGGAGCATCTCAAAGTGCAAAGTATAAGGACTGTGTATTTATACATAGGCAACCAGAACAGGTAATTTGAATACAACACTACCCACCAAAGGCTGGGATATCAATGTTACATGGATTTTTAGACTGGTTCCAAGGTCAAGATCAAGCTCCCAACCTGCCCTCAAACAAATCCAGTCTTACTCCTTAGATTGGCACAGGATCACTGGCAAAATGACAGAGTCAACCAAGGCTAACCAGGATACTTCACTCATAAACAGGCGCCAGTGATAGACTTTTGTCTGAGAATCACAAGGTTAATTTGGGTTAAGACGGCCTTTCAGCCCATCTGACCTCATCCCTCCAGAACACTCGACCTACCTTCCTCCCATCACAGCATCAAGCTGCTCTGTAAATGAGTCCAGTGTCCTGGCCTCAATTCCTGCTTCCCAGCAAACTATTCTAGTTGTTAACTTCCGAGGGGCTGTCCTGAAATTGCCCTTTGCACATCTAAACCTACATCTTCTTGTTCTATCGTCTTGGTGCATCCTAAAGTAGTGTCTATTGTTTCAGGTTGTGATCTCACTAGAGCACTCCATCGCCTGAATATGACAACAACAACAACTTGGATTTATATAGCGCCCTCCATGGGGAGGAAGGTGACCAAAGGCGCGGTCGAAAAGAAAGGTCTTCAGCAGAGACCTGAAAATGGGAAGGGAGGGAGCGAGATGAAGGGAATGAGGAAGGCAGTTCCAGAGCCTCGGGAGATAGTGGCTGAAGGCACGGCTGCCGAGGGTGGAGCGGAGGACTCGGGGGACGAGGAGGAGGCCAGACCCAGAGGAACGAAGGCAATGGGTACTGTTTTGAGGAGAGAGGAGGTCAGAGAGGTCGGGGGGTGCAGAGGAGTGCAGGGACTTGAATACAAGGGTGAGGATCTTGAAATCGATCCTCTCTGGGATAGGCAGCCAGAGCAGTCTGGCAAGGACTGGGGTGATCGGGATGACTTGTGGGAATTTAGCTGATTTAGCAATACAACCAAGTGTCCTGCTTGCCTTTATTGCTGAGTTAATACTGAGTCAACTAACACCAATGGATCTCTTTCAGTTTTCTGCTTGGCAACTTGCATCCCATCCAAGAAGTACTTGTGTTACCTATTCTTACTTTCTATTATGTAGCATATTGCAATTTATCTGAATCCAAAAACTGCCAAAATCTAAGCGACATACTTTTAAAGCCTTCGCTCTTGATAATCACTAAACTGCAAGAAAGACTAACGTCTAACCAATTATATTTAATGTAGGGTAATTAATATAAATATATATATATATAGAATAGAACATTGTTTATCTACAAAGCAGATAACACATGTCCCCTTATCTACATTGGAGCTCAGGTACAGAAGCAGCGGGGCTGTGATTTCACTCAAGCAGTGATCTCTTCCAGGTGAGCGTAGGAATAGAGGGAGAGAGAGAAAAAGCACTGAGAGTTAAACAGCAGAGGACACAAACACACAAATAACCAGTTGAAGTGATACTCAAACACACAGAGACCTGTTAAATATCGCCACCATTTTCCGACTCATTTTAAGCCCTGCTTAAGTGAATCATGGGTTTGTCCAATTTTTTTTAACAGCACAAAATAAATGAGCTTGTTAAGTGGGTGATTACAACTCTCAATAGAGCTTGGGGTTTGGTTGGTCCAGGTACATTACACTAGGCCTGGCTGAACGTGAACGGATCAAGAATAGACTTTGCTTTCTCGGAATTTGTCACGATTTCACTTCCTCTGGATGTGAAGCGACCACAAGTGTAAGGTAGAGTTGTACATTGCAGGCAAAGTGCTCACATATATTGTAATAAGTCCTGAGAACATAAGTGGGCATCTTTCTCCTCACACCCCCCCACACAAAAAAGACAGTAGTGCAAACCCTTCTTTGCAAACAAACAGATACAATTCACGTCAGGTTACCAATTGCACAATATTGTTCTGCTGAACTGTATCTACACTCTCCAAAATAGCCACGATTTCTCTCTGTGTTGACAAATGGTACTTTTTAAGTCGCTTCATCCTCCCCCTCAAACCATTGTTTCTTTCCAGAACTTCTCTCTTGCTTTGTGTAGTTTTATTTCTCACAAAGTCTTTGATCAAAATGACAAGACACACTAGAACCAGCTCAGATGTTGCCACACACAAGTACCAGTGAAGGGTTGGGTGGCAATTCTCTGTCAGGTGTTTGAAGTTGCAGATCAATCTTTTACCTGGAAAGATCTTTGTTTTGACAGATTTGAAGATGAGACAACAACGACGTCAGGTATTATAACAGGAAGAGGCTCCAATTAACAGGCAGGCAGCTTGATCCACAGACCATGTGCGTGTCTGCTAATCACTTCTTTCACTGTGTAAACCCTTTCATGAGATCACAAGAGCGCTTCAGATAAAGAAGGTCTTTTAGCTCATTTCCAGAAAATCCTTCCTACCATCCCCCCATTACAGCATCAAGCTGTTCCTTAATTGAACCCAGTCTACTGGCCTCTGCCATTTCATGTGAACCCACTCCAGTTGTTAACCTTTACTTGTAACCCTTCCATTCTCTGCCTCTGTATAAGCGAATTGCATTGACAACTGCAACTTGTACGGCCAGTTTCTGCACTTAACCACTGAGCCCATTAGGAGGGCCTGTCTGCCATCAGAGGAATTTATCTGAAGACCTTTAAACCAAGAGAACCCATTCTCTTTCAAGAAAAAAAATGGAAGCCACAGCCTTAACGTTTAAGGTGGTGAGGCAGGCCTGATGGTTTGAATAGACCTGCAGCTTTTGAAGCAAGAATCCCTGGGTTTGAAATCCTGTTTTGTGCTAAATTTGCTGGTCTCAAGTCAGGGCTGCAAATGGAGGCAGGATTTGGCCCCCGTCTTCCTCAAGTTAGGCAGGGTAAAATCAGGGTCCTGTTCCTGACCTCTCTTCAGCACCATGTACTAGTAGTGTGTGTGTGTGTGTGTGGGGGGGGGGCAACCAGATGAAGACAGGCTGGTTTGACTCGGACTCCTTCTAAGTCGAGTTGCCTGCCGATGCTCACAGCCAAGAATCACACATGTACAATGATCATGGAGTCCCGCGGCTCTGGTTAAGAGCACTCGCCTCGCAAGCGAGAGATCTGGGTTTGATTCCCAAGAAGGGCGAAATGTCGGGGAAGTTTCCTTGCTCCACACGCCTCTGTTTACCCAGTAGTAAGTAGGAATCTGGTTGTTTGTCGATCAGGGGATCGTTTTTCAGGGGTGATAATTCCTTCAAAAAAAATAATAATAATAATAAATTGGTCATTCAATCCACGACTGTTTGTGGGACACTGCTGTGTGTAATTGGCTGACTCTTTTCGCCCATAAAAAATATAGTCAATTCCTTTAGAGTATATTCTGTGAAGCGATTTGAGACGTCTCGAAGATGTGGTAAAGCACTACATCAAATGCAAGGATTATTATTGTTATCATTTTGAGTGGGAAACCAGAGGCCAGCCAGTGACCATGGAACTGTACTCCAGGAAGAGGAGGCCAGACCAGGAACAGGGGGAAAAAAATTCTCCCTGAAGAATTCTATGCTGATTCCTCCAAACTTGCAACCACCCCCTCCAAAAATATAAATAGTTTGCAACCTCCAGGCAGAAGCCAAACACAGAGCTCTGCAGTGTTTGTTATTTTCTTGGATTTATTTTATTATAAATACTGAGGTTAAGGTGAGAAGACGATAAGGCAAATGCATGAGGATGAAAGGTCGACCGAGGGCGGGGCGATATAATCATGATATAATAACATTGTGATATCTGTACCTTATAATGTTAGTGCTGAGGCCCAACAAGCCTTTGACAATAGTCCGGTACTGGAGTCATCATAGAAAGGGCTTCCGTTTTTTGACTGCATTGAAATTTCTCAAAGTGCTTCTTTTGAACCATCACAAGTTGTCACTTGTTCGCCGACGTCCATTAATGGTCGCACTCGAACAAGTCTTTCTTTCTCTGCCTCGTCGTTGGAAGCGAAAGGATGGTGAACAGGGCGATATCACAATATTAAAACGAAATTATCGTATCGTCCAACAAAATAACAACAAAACATGAAGTGTAAAAAAAAAACAACGCACACACACACACACACGATTTCCAGGTAATACATGGTGTCCCAGTATCTGCTGCAGTAAACACTTTAAGTAATAAAACATATAGAAAGAAAATTAATATTTTGGAATGTAGGCTTGTTCCCTTTGCTTCGTGTCAGTGCAGCCAAGAACAAAGCAAAGTTCTCTGCTCGAGGCTAAAGTATTTCCCTATTTGCAATGTCGACATTCGTCGCTGGGAGCAACGACCCCCGTCATGGTTGACCTCTGATCCCAGAGGTATCCAACATTGCACTCAGATAAAAGGGGAAAGGTACTGTTATGTTAACTCCCCACAGAGTCAAAGGCATTTGCAAAGGTTTCAGTCCTTGTGGATTCCAGTCCAGGAAGCAAGGTTGGTCCCAGGTAAAAGGCAGCTTGTTCTATTTGCTTTGCTTTCGCCATTGGTGTCAGTAGCTGCCCGTTCCCCCCTCTCTCTCTTTCTCTCTGTGTCTCTTTCTGTGTTAACTTAGAGTGCCAGTAAGGTGGGAGAGTTCAAAGAGTCTGAGGATTGGTCCCCACTGCTGCTGCTCCTCCGATGAGCTTTGGAGCAGGACTCTGATGGAGACTCCTGGTCCAGGCTGGGGATGCTGGGGTAGGTGAAGACCAAGCTGGCAGCGCATGGCGTGATGGTGGCGGCTGGCGTGGATGTGATCACCACAGGTGTGTTGAGGGGCTCAGCCTCCTCAAAGTAGCTGTTAGCGATGTTGATCTCCGTCACGGGCTTGATGACTGATCTCTGGGCTTTGGTCATGTACTTGGTCATGGCTTTCAACTCCTCCACCGGCTCCTTCTTGATCACCACATGGTTGGCGTGAGCGGAACGGACCGCTCGGGGGCTCGGGGACGGAGTTGTCCTCCTGGAGTCACACTCGGAGAGCATTTTGCAAATGGGCTTGTGGGCCACCAGTATGAACTCCAGTTTCTCCTTCTCCTTCTGCAAATGGGCGATTTCTTTCTGCAGACCGGACTTTTCCTCTTCGAGTTTCTCGGTTTCCTGCAAGAAACAGGACATGAAAACGTTTTATAGGAGGAGCATGGGTTGAAAGTTGTCTCTGTTTTTGTTCTCCCCTTCATCTTGACTGACATTTGCTGGCCAAGCTGACGTAGAGCCTTGCGAAACAGCAGACATTGATCTCTTTAGACCAGTGACAAGAGTGGTACGCACCATTCAGACCAAGCAAGCCAGATGATATGGGTCTAAAATGCAGGTTGGGCTAATAACCCACAGACTAACCATATGCAAATTCTGCAAGTGCTACTGATTATGTTGCAGTAGTCAATGAGGGTTACAAAATCAGATGCAATTCTATTCATCCCCACTTTATTACATAATCAAGGGCATCTACAAACATTTGCACATGGTTAGCCCATTTGACTATTTGCCCAACCCATATTTTCTTAACCCCAGTGTTAGTATCTGTCCTTCCCTATTGTCGTCCAGTTATTCCTGGGTATCTATTGCTATCTTCTTTGATTGGAGGAGTGGGATTGTTCAGTTCATGACACCTCCACTGACTCTACTCATGCCAGACCTCGAGCAGTGAAGGTCTCTAACCCAACCCCAACTCCTCCTCTTAAGATCTGCTTGAGATGGTCAAACAATCCTTCCAAGAGAAGCCAGAGGTGCTTAAAACCCAGACGAGCCATTGTTTCCACACTAGATGCTCAGTGCATTGCGTGAGCTCAGCAATCTATAGGAGCCCCTCCAATAATGTGGAAGCAATTGGTTAATCTTGGTGGAATGAGAAAAGGGGCAGTGGGCTGACAGATGGATTGTTCACATTGTTGTATTGTTACAAAATCTTCCCACAACTTATCTCATCCCCTTAGAGAGATGAATACCGCAGTGCAAGAAGATTAAACTGAAATTCCTCCCATTCCTCTTAGATCCTGAAGGCAATTCAGTGAAATGGTACCGGACTATTCAATAGCGACCTGCTGCATTCCATGGTTGACATTCTTATGGTCAGACCAGGAATGGAGCCAGAGAGCTCCAAAGAGTATTTGTTCATCCAGTCCATTGCTCATCACTACAAACTTCAACCCATTTCAATACCAGTCACCCAGCTCCTTTACAAATGGTTATTTGACAAGAGCATTAACCAACTTTGATAAGAGAAGATTCAACACATTTATTGCCTAGGGCGGGTGTGGGGGGGGAGGGAGGGGCTGCGAGGGTGGGGGGGGTGGGGGTTACAATCTGCAGAAGGAATGCATCCTTGCAAAACTAGCTCAAATCATTAGACTATTCAAGGCTATAAAAGGAAAGAGAAAAATAGTAGGAATTTGCTTCGGTACATAGACTGCGGGAAGAGGCCAAACAGAGGTGTGTACTCTATGGAATGCACAAGGTTTATAGATGCAATTTGTTTTTTAAAAAAATTGGCAGGTCACAGAGGTCTTTGCAAGATCCTACACGCTGCCGTGCATTTAAACCTTACTTTGTTGCTTAACGTTTATGGTGAAAACGTACACTGACACAAGTCTTAAATGAGCAAATCTCCGAGGCTAAAGATTGCCAATAAGTCCAGGTCCAGCCAAACCCCTGTGGGCAGGGAGGGGGGTTGGAGCCATAGGATGTGTTGCAACCATCTCATGTTTACAAGAGAAGTTTGGATAAAGAAGGGACTTTAATTAATTTGATTCTCATTCCTCCAGAATAACCAATAAAAGAGTTTGGAGTCCCGGCTTTTACCTTTCCATGAGTTAACCACCCTCTGTCTATATAGGCTGTAAGAATTCCCCCCTCCCTACTTCTAGATAAGCCACCAGCCCAGGTTTTCTAGAGTCCTTTTTGTAAATTTTAACCTGATCTAGAAGTGCTTGATAGTCATCTCACTGCAGTAGTTTAGGACTTTCCCAATGAGAGATACTGAAAGCTAAAAAAGAACATTTTTATTGAATGTGAGGAGATATGAGTCCTTCAACATTCCCCGCCCCGATTAATTTTCTCCCCTGCTCCCTCTATGTAAAGAAATACTTCCTGCTGTCTGTCCTGAATTGCCCTTTGCAACCTTGAACCTGTAAATTGGTGGGAGGAGGGAAAACCTCCCAAATGTGTGCTGCTGGCTGTGTTTTGGGGTTAACAGAGGCAGGAGGATGCACAGAGGTGAGTGAGTGGGGGAAGCAGTCAACGAGAACAACACAAGGGCAGTGCATCCTGCACTAGTTTACCGTGTGCTCGGGACACGGTTTTGAGGTGCACTTACTTCTTGAAGTCGATCCGTTAACTCCCGGCGTCGGTTTCGACACTTGGCAGCGGCCAGCTTGTTCCTCTCTCGTCGGATCCTTCGCTTCTCTTCTTCCTCTGGGCTCAACTGTTCAAAAGAAGAGTGAACCACGGATCAGTAAATGGCAGTACGTAACCCAACAACAACAACAAATTACAATCGTATCACAAACGGATAAAGGACAGAGCATCCCAGGGCCAGCAGAGGCTTTGGGTTCCTCGTGAACATGAGGTATGAATCATGTTAGGTCAGGTTATCAAGGGATATGGGGCAAGGGCGAGTAATAAGCCCGTTGGGATCCTACCCTGCATGAAGGGCGCAATATAAATGCAAGTTGTCGTTGTAATTGGAGTTGAGGTACAGATCAGCCATGATCTTAAAGAAATGTCAGAACAGGCTCGAGGGGCTGAATGGCCTCCTCCTGTTTCTGTGTTTCTAAGAACCATCAACTTTAACTTTCAATCACAACGTTGGGGTCTCTGCACTTTGCTTCTTTCTTTGCCTTTTACAAACAGTAACGCTCTGCAAAAACTTGTTGGAAGTTTGTGGCACTCCAACCACAGACATGCCTGGTGGAGCCAGACTGGATGGACAGCCTGTTATCTGGTCAATGCAAGTACCCAGACAGCGTCTCAGCGTCTGTGAATTTGTAAGCTAATTACACCTTTCCGGCTGTGCATTAACTTTCATTCCACAGTATATTGTACAATGGGGAAAGAACGTTGCTTCAGTAACTTTTAAGTCAAATAATTTTTAAACAAAAAAAATTGATCCTGTGAGGGTAGCTCAACAACGTTCATTCTGGGTAATAATAAGGTAGTATAATGGCTGATCATAAAAATCCTTGCAGTTGATATAGTGCCTGTAAATAGCGACGCTGGGAACAAGGATCCTTTCCACTCAGCTGCTGTTAACCCTACAAGCCAAAGCCCTAACTGGTAAAATTGTCCCAGCTGGGCAAGCACCAGGAGGATTACCAGACAGTGCTCTCAATAACAGCTATGCAGTTTTAGTGGTTAAATTCCAACAGTAGCGCAACACACATTAATAATAATCCTTTCATTTGATACAGCGCCTTATCACGTCTTTGAGACGTCTCAAAGCGCTTCATAGAACATGCTGTAAATAATAATAATAATAATCCTTGCATTTGATATAGCACTTTTCACGTCGGGAGGACGTCCCAAAGCGCTTCACAGAACACACTGTAAAGTGAATTGACTGTATATTTGTGGGCGAACGCGGCAGCCAATTGCGCACAGCAATGTCCCACAAACAGTCGTAGATTGAAAATGACCAATTTATTATTGTTTTTGGAGGGATTATTATTAGGCTCTGTGTGGAGTAAGGAAACTTGCCCAAGGTTTCGCCCTCTGCCTGGAATTGAACTCAGGTCTCTCGCTTGCAAAGCGAGTGCTCTAACCACTGAGCTACAGGACTCCACAAAGTGATTTGACTGTATATATTGTGGGGGCTCCAAGCCTTGGCTGTCAGCAACTTGCACCTGATACTCTACTGAATTGGATAAGCAAGATGCATCCCTCCAGGGAGGGAATGTGCACTCTATTCCAGAGAGGAATTTCCATGTGTGGATGGCATACAAATGTGGAACTCTCAATTTGGTTTGGATATGCTTAAGCCTGGTGATCGACATCTGCACGTGACAAAGTACTTCACAGGCAATATACAATGACTGTATATTTATAGCAAACGAAGCAGCCAATTTGCACACAACAGTATTCCACTAATGGCCATGTGCGAATGACTAATATACCTGGAGGATTTGACATTTCATCTCATCTGGAGGACAGCTCTCCCAGCAACCCGAAGCTCCCTCAGTTGTGTATTAAAAAGCCTGTCTGTGAACTCACATCTTAATGTGGGACTATGAACCCACAACCCTTTGAACCCAGAGACCAAATTGCTACCAACCGAGCTGACAGACAAAGGTAGCGGTGAGTCATGGGTATGAGCCAGCAGTTACACAATGCTGCTTATCAGTGTTGAATGTTCATTAACGGGTGGGTGTTTCAACCGTAAACAACCGAGGGAAAGACTTCCTGTACACTTAAAATGCCAAACAGCAAAGGATAATAGGAATGTAGAAGCAGGAGACAGCCACTCAGTCCACCAAGCTCCTCCACCATTGTACTATGCCATGGCATCACTTCATATTTTTATTCTCATTTCCTTGCTCTTCCACCATATCCTTTTCTACCCTTACTTCCTAAGCACCCAATAATCTCCCTCAATCAATTTTACACATAGAATCGTAGAATGTTACGGCACAGAAAGAGGCCATTCGGCCCATCGAGTCTGTGCCGGCTCTTTGACAGAGCGTGGTAGTGCCTTCACGAGACAGAATGAAAGAATAGAATAGAGACCACTAGCATGATGAATAATAGAATGATAAAAGAAAGAAACAAACACAAACAGAAGGCAAAAGGCAAAATACTGCAGATGCTGGAAATCTGAAATAAAACAGAAGTCGCTGGGAACACGCAGCAGGTCAGGCAGCAGCTATGAAGAGAGGAAAGTGATGATAGGTCATCAACCTGAAATGTTAACTCATTTTCCTCTCCCCATAGATGCTGCCTGACCTGCTGCGTGTTCTCAGCGACTTCTGTTTTTATTTTATAATAAAAAAATAGAGAATCGCTGTGACATTGGGTGAGTCCTGTAGCTCAGTGGTTAGAGCACTCGCTTTGCAAGCGAGAGACCTGAGTTCAATTCCAGGCAGAGGGCGAAACCTTGGGCAAGTTTCCTTACTCCACACAGAGCCCTAATAATAATCCCTCCAAAACCAAAAACAATAATAAATTGGTCATTTTCAATCTACGACTGTTTGTGGGACATTGCTGTGCGCAATTGGCTGCCGCGTTCGCCCACAAATATGCAGTCAATTCACTTTACAGTGTGTTCTGTGAAGCGCTTTGGGACGTCCTCCCGACGTGAAAAGCGCTATATCAAATGCAAGGATTATTATTATTATTATCTGCTAACCACTTTTTTCTTGACCAACCCTGGTTTTCTCTCCTGTGTGGCATCCTGTGCTATCAGGTTCGGGCCCTTCGCCTGGGTTCTCAGTGGAAGAAAAGCTTCATCTTTGATCAGTTAAATCTTGGCAACCAAGAAGCCCTTGGCATGAGGGACATGTAACTCAGCACAACATTTCTTCATGGTTCTGTAGGTAACAGCGATGTCTGGCACTACCCTAAGCCATGTAGATCAAAAAAAAAATCGCTGGTTCAAATCCTAGTCTGTGCTGGGAGTTCCAAGTGTTGTCTTTGCTGAGATCAATTAACACAACACAGAATTATTTTTCTCCCGAAACTCCATCCAGTCTTAGCCTCTAAGACCAATTCGTCTTAAAATTTAACATGGCACAGAATTGCAGCAAATTCTGAAATTCAGTCTTAATTTGGAAGCCAGTTCTTTTTAAGATTGAATTGAGGAATCTTAAGATTGTCGTAGGTAGATCAGGTCTCTGCTGACCGCTATTCAAAGACTCCTGTAGGAAAGATGCGGAAGTGTGTTTTGGCTGTGTTGGAGGATGGGGAAAGCAGAGTGGAAAGGAAAACTCTGCAACAGAGAGAAAAATGCTCCAAATAAATAGACCGATCGATTGTTTCATCTCGGACAGCCTGGCCATCTCACCTGTTCGTCTCTTTTCCTTCGACCTCCTGTTGCCCCAATAGTTTTGATGACTCCGGGTCGGTGTGATGCTGTGTGCCCGACATTGGCGGAGATGCTGGTTCCTGGAAGACTGTAAGGATGTGATCTGGTGTATGGACTGCACATTGAGGTGATGACTGTAGGCTGAACCATCCACTGCAAGTCCTGGCTGGTTGTGATGGCAGTAATGGTTGGGACAAAGGCACTATGGGATCCTGGCATGTCTGATCGGAATTTCTGGAAACAGTAAATAAGTCAGGTGAAGATTTCAGCTCACAATCTACGTATGTATCTTAACGCAGGGCAGTCTACAGTGCAGGTTGAAACCGACCTTTTCGAATGCTCGGTCCTCCAATAAATTCACCAGTACAAGCTTATACAAGCCTGGTTAGAAGTAACTGACTTACAGTCAAATCTCATGATAGCACGGAGGCTTGTATACACAAAATCAGACCCCAATGTTATAATGGGTACAGTTATCACTTCCACATTATCAGGTCACCACTGATATCACCAAATAGCATGCAGGATACCAGTAACTGCTTTCACTGGCGTTTCCAGCTATTACTTGGACATGGGTGGTCTTTTGGGACTGTGTACTTTAGCCAAAAGCCAGAAGTCACCTCACATCCAGTATCCTGCAGATCTAGTGTGATATACGGACCCCCAGAAGCCAAAGCACAACATAACACCTCCCAACTGTATCAGTTATAATACCTGACTCTACGCTGAATACATCAGAGACCTGAAATTTCCTATGGTCTCAGTCTTAAGACCTTTGTCTTATAATGGAAGAACTTTGAAACATTCTTAAAATCAGTCTTGATTTGTGTTTTTTAAAATGAAAACCAGCAGTGAATTTATGAACGTTTCAAAGTTCTGCGCAATCTTAAATTGGAAGAAATTGGCCTTAAGGCTAAGACGGTGAGAATTTCAGGTCTCAGGTATCCGAGAACCATGGACGCCACCATTAAGGATGGACACAGGCTCCCCTCCCTCTCGACAGAGTGGCCTGTGTTAATGTGGGGAGAAGGAGTTGAGAAGAGTGGGGGTGATGGGGGAGGACGGAGGTTGTTCTTTACAAGCCTCGAAAAAATGACTGTACAATAACACGATCAGAGAGTTCTGAAGAGAGCCGAGTGGGTATTGAATATTAATGTTAAAAAAAAGCGAATACTGGTTGTCTTCCAGATCGCAATTTTCATGCAAATGATTTACAAATAAATGCCAAAAATGTTCCCAAACTGTCTGTTATATAATATTCGAAATGTTGAAATCAAAGGAGCTTGATGTCCCAGGCAGAGTGGGAGGAGATTGCTCCTGACCTGGATGTGGTGTCTTGCACACAAGGGTGCAGCTCAGATATGCAGGCACAACCCACACATAAAGTCTGCATGCATGAGCACCACACAGCATTTGGTACCATTTTCAACAGCACTTGTGTGTGGGTGCGCGCGTGTGTGTGTGGGGGAGGAGGAGGATTATGTCGAGAGGGGAGGTGGGGCGGAGAGAGGGGGGAAGGATCTGCCTTACTTCTTCCATGCTCTCCAAGTTAGTGCAGGCGCTATCATTCAAATTAAGAGAAAAGAACATGTTGCAGATGAACAGTATCTAAGCCCATGTTTCACAACCGAAAGCATCAAGAGGATTGCACTTAAGATCCCTGTCCTGGGCTTTAAAGCCTTCCAATCTCGCTCCACCCTATCTCACAATCTCCGCCAGCCCTACATTCCAGTCTGTATCTTCCACCCAGCTGACCCCGCGTGAAATATTGGTCTCACTCCCCATTCTCTTTGCTTCATCAGTGGCCAAGCCTTCAACCACCTATTTAGCTTTAACTATTTAACATTAACCCAAAGAAAATGATGTGGTCACTCAATGCACGACTGTCCACTGTTCTGTGCACAATTGGCTGCTGGGTTTCGCCCGCAAGATATACAGTCAATTCACTTTGCCGTGTATTCTGTGAAACGCTTTGAGACAGCTCGAAGACATGATAAGGCACTGTATCAAATGCAAAGGATTATTATTATTATGATTATTAATTCTCTCCTCACTGACACTCTCCCCATTTTCAAATACCTGCTTAAGAACCTATCATTCTGACTCTGAGTTTTTGGTCAAAGTCTTTAAATCTCTCGCTTCTCTGCTGAGCGTCCATCATTATATTTGTCAAACCTTCTTTTGTGTGAAAGGCGTTATATAAGTATGAAGATATTACTTGAACTGAAGGGTGATATATAAATCACACGAACAAGTACATGTTGAAATTGTCCAGGTAGGAGAACAAGATCTTGGCTCTGTACCACTAGTGGAGTCCTGAAGCTCAGTGGTTAGAGCACTCGCTTTGCAAACGAGAGACCTGAGTTCAATTCCAGGCAGAGGGCGAAACCTTGGGCAAGTTTCCTTACTCCACACAGAGCCTAATAATAATCCCTCCAAAACAAAAACAATAATAAATTGGTCATTTTCAATCTACGACTGTTTGTGGGACATTACTGTGCGCAATTGGCTGCCGCGTTCGCCCACAAATATACAGTCAATTCACTTTATAGTGTGTTCTGTGAAGCGCTTTGGGATGTCCTTCCGACATGAAAAGCGCTATATCAAATGCAAGGATTATTATTATTGCTTTCTCTTAAAGAGCTTCACAGAATATACTGTAATAATAATAATAATCCTTGCATTTGATATAGCGCTTTTCACGTCGGGAGGACGTCCCAAAGCGCTTCACAGAACACACTGTAAAGTGAATTGACTGCATATTTGTGGGCGAACGCGGCAGCCAATTGCGCACAGCAATGTCCCACAAACAGTCGTAGATTGAAAATGACCAATTTATTATTGCTTTTGGTTTGGGAGGGATTATTATTAGGCTCTGTGTGGAGTAAGGAAACTTGCCCAAGGTTTTGTCCTGCCTGTAAAGTGAATTGACAGCATGTTTCGTGGGCGAAATGCAGCAGCCAATTGCGCACAGCAGTCTAAACCTTTGCAGCGAGTTTAGTCCCCAGAATACTCGTTTCGCACGAGTCAAGGTCCCACACCCCGGATTCAAGCCCACCATCTGCTTTCCCAAACCCGGTGCTCAGCCATCAGAGCAAACCCCCGATTGTAACATTGACTCACAATCCGACTTTTAACGTCACAAAATCCTAAAGAGATTTTTTCTCTCTGAGAAAATACTTTCGTAATACTTTCCGGAATGAGATAAGCAGGAAGCGTTCCTCCAGGGAGAGAGAGAGTGGGCATTCCATTCCGACAGTCTGTCTCTGGGATTTCCATGTGTAGGTGGGAGACTCTCAAACACGGTGATGAGTTTCCGCGTGTGTCAATGAGCTGATCCCCCGACAAAACACACAAAATTTGGGGGGGGGGGGGGGGGGGGAGGGCGCGGGTGGGGGAAGGTGAAGGCATACTGCATTGCCAACCATACAGCAGAGAATAGGTTAAAAGGAAAAGTTGAGAGGTGGCCAAGAGAGTTACAGCATTTCCAGTAAGTGTCCATCCAGTAAGTGTGGAGCAAAGCCTCAGCACACAGACATCTAATAGATCTATCTATATATATATATATATTGCCCAAGAGGGCGCCAGCAATCGTGCAATTTCCCCCATTCCCGTCAAAGAGCAACAGGTCAGTGGTGGGAATGTCGCAGACTGGTACCCGGAAAACAACACGTCTGATCAAAGGATTGCCAGAAATGTTCCCACTGAAGGCGTGCGATTGATTGCCTGACTTTGCTTTTCCCTTCCTCCCATCTTATCTTCTGGCACAAAAGTGGTAGGGATTGACTTCCTCTGGAGACAGACAGACAGACAGAGAGAGAGAGAGAGAGCGAGAGCGAGAGAGAGGGAAAGGAGAAGGAAGGAGGGAGGGAGGGAAGGAGAGAGAGAGAGAGACAGATCTGGTTTGGGTGGGGATCTGGCAGCAGAGAGGGCGCTGGCTGGCGGGCTGTGGCTGGCAGACACTAGTCTAACACACACACAAGTTTCTTTTACGCAAGTTGCGAAACTGATTTGGTAATCGCATTAGAAGCTTCTTGCGCAAGCTTTCTGCAACGCGCCCCTCTCTCTCTCTCTTCTCTCTCTTTCTCTCTCCTTCCTTCCCTCCCTCTTTCTGTCTCTGTCTCTCCCGAGCAAACGATCGGGCAGGAAAAGGCATGTAAAAGAGTTGGATCGCACAGAACATGAAACAACAAGATAGAATAAAGTGGTTATTAAAGCGCCCATCACTGCCCACCCATCAGGTCTCACCCAGGCATTAACCCTGTGATGTCTTCTCGCCCTGTTGGAATAGTTTAACCCCCTCAACACGAAACTTATCGGCGTTAACTTTGCAACTTTCGGGACTTAAACCTCAAAACTTTCCGAACTTTTTTTTTTACACAGTGACACACGGCAATAATAATCCTTGCATTTGATACACCGCCTTATCCCGTCTTCGAGACGCCTCGAAGAGCGTCCGAAGGA